AGGGAGAAACAGGCTTCCCACTGAGCAGGGAGCCCTATGCGGGGCTGGATCCCAGGACCCTGGGATCATGACCTGATCCGAAGGCAGACGCTTAATGACTGAGCCACCCAGGTGCCCCTCAGATCTTTGTTTCTAATGAAACATTTTTAATATTTTTTTCCCTTGTGGCAGACTGGGTGACTAATGCGGATTGAATTTCTAAGTTAAACTATTTTGTAGTCATTAGTATTCTTTGGAAATGTTGCTTTGATCTAGCAATGTGCTCTTAGAGTTTATAGGTCCTCTAAGGAGGATGGGGGGGATGGTTTCTCTTTTGCTGGGGAAGAACTACATTGTAGGAGGAATCTCTCACTTACCTAACTTTGGGCAAGGCCCTGTGAGCCTCTCAGTTCCAGTTCCTCGTTGAAGAAATTGGATGTCTGCTCTGGCCAACTCACATAAGGTTTGTGAGTGTCGAAAAGCTATAAATGGTTCTTCGATCTTTGTCTTAATCTTGTCTGTGTATCATGTAAGAAAGCTCCACATTTGGTCTCCATCTCAGAAATCAGGTGATTCTGTGCCTGTTGTCCCTTGACAGTGGTGAGAGGATTAGACTTCTAAAAATCTGGAATTCCATTTCAGCTGCTTCTATAAAAACAGTTTTTTAAAAAACGTAAGAAACATGGGACATCTGTGACTTGTCTGCATCAGTTTGTTTCTTGAACAGGGAAATGAATGTGTTGTGCTTAAAGGTTAGATTGACATTTTGATGCCCTTGGGGTTTGCCTAACCTTCTAGCTTATGGCCCTATTCCACAATGGCTTTGGCTTCAGTAAAATAGTTTTGGACGTACGACTGTCCGCACAGTTTTTGTGCTCTGCATTTCTAGAATTTGGATGTCTATTTGTCAAGGTTCAGATGTATTTACAGCAGTCTTTGGCAGAGAGCCTTCAGAAAGCCATCCTTGTGTGTGTTTATTGTGCTGCTGGACAGTAAATCAGCCTATGGTCACATTAAAATCTAGCCTAGTCATGCCTAGGATTCTCCAATACGTATTCATATCTCTACAGTTCAGGGTATGATAGGAGGGTTTTATTTTCAACCAAGTATCTGTTTAAAGTCCTAAACATAAGGACTGTATTTGAAATGCTTTTGTGTCAACATGAGATTTTGTGTTTAGGGAAATAACTGAAATTGGATTAATCTGGGTGGTAAGGTAATTGGATTTGGCTTTCAGGATGTGCTGTGAATGGTATAAAACCAAATTATGCCCAGGCGGTGCAAAAGCAGGTACCCGAAGACCTTAAATGTCGTATCTGCTTTTCTCTTCCTGTACCTTCTAATTTGTAAAAGTGTTTGGAATGCCTGATAAATTTAGTTTGTTCTTGGTTGGTTCTGATGTTGAGACTTGCTCAGAATTTCTGAGGTGAAAAGATTTGGTCAGTTACGTAAAAAAATTTTTTTTTGGTTGCGTAAATTTTAAAAGAGCATCACAACTCACTCAGATAACTGTCTTTGATCTAAACCAGGGAATATTGCATTTTCCAAGTTTGTTCAAATCTGTGATTGAAGCATCACGCCCTCCCTTGGGGCATCTGGCTGGCTCAGTAGAGCATGTGACTCTTGATTTCAGGGTTGTGAGTTCAAGCCTCAGGGCGTGGAGCCTACTTAAAAAAAGCCTCAGGCCCTTGCAGATCTGATTTTTGGGACTTGTGTCCTCAAACCACAACGTAGCCAGCTTTCTTCCCTGGATTGTCAGTTTTTTAAATAACTACCTCAGGTGGCCCCCTCCCTTTGGCTCTCTTGAGTTTTGTATCCAGTTGAGGGAGAAGGTTTTGCTGTTGGCCAGGTGTACCATTAAATGCCTGCTTCATCCTGCTTTGCACTGCGCAAGCCTGCTTTGGACTTGTTTCTTACAGTCCTTCTGTGCTTCCAACATTTCCCCTCTCTACTTCCAGTTCTGGGCCTACTTCCATTTGGGTCTTGAAAAAATAGATTTTCCTTGGTCATTCTGTTTGGAACCCACTTCTCCACTTATGAGCTTGAGTATAACAGTTCTTTCAGTTAGGGCAGGTTTGTAGAAACCTGGTTGCTTTGAGGTTCACATTTTGCATTTCTCCTTTCTGTGGTGCTATGGGATGGGCTTAGGTTTTGCTCGAAGCTTTGATTTCTCTTCGAATGCTTCCAGCTCTTTCAGAATCACTCTTCTAGGTAACAGCTTTGCCAAGGTCATCTTGAGTTTATATACCCCTAAGGCTGGTTTTATCTAAGTCTTTTAAGAGATTGGAAAGTACTATGTTATTCTTTTAAATGTTATTTACCTTTTTCTTAAAAAGATTTATTTAGAGCACAAGTTGGGGGTGGGGAGAGGGAGAGGCAAACTCCCTGTTGAGCAGGGACCCTGAAATCATGACCTGAGCTGAAGGCAGAAGATGGCTTCATCGACTGAGCTACCCAGGCATCCCAATGTTATTTACCTTTAAAATGGAGTTCATGCTTGCTTTGTTTATGATGAAATGAGAAATCAGAAGCCATTGGTTCACATTGTAACTTGGCCATTATTCTAGTAATCAGACAGAGAAATACTTCATTCCAAAGGTGCTTTTTATGTCTTTAGAATAAGAATAATCCACTTCTCAAAGTTGTGATGGAGTTGACTTTTTTTTTTTTAAAGATTTTATTTATTTATTTGACAGAGACAGCGAGAGAGGGAACACAAGCAAGGGGGAGTGGGAGAGGGAGAAACAGGCTCCCTGCTCAGCAGGGACTTGATTCCGGGACCCGGAGATCATGACCTGATCCTGATCCGAAGGCAGACGCTTAACAACTGAGCTACCCAGGCGCCCCTGGAGCTGACTTTTTTTTTTTTTTAAGATTTTATTTATTTATTTGACAGACACAGCGAGAGAGGGAACACAAGCAGGGGGAGTGGGAGAGGGAGAAGCAGGCTTCCTGCTGAGCAGGGCACCCGATGTGGGCTCGATCCCAGGACCCTGGGACCATGACCTGAACCGAAGGCAGACGCTTAACGACTGAGCCACCCAGGCATCCGCTATTTTTAAGAGTGCTCCCATAGACAACTTCTTCCATTTTTTTGTTTGGAAAAGCTTTTAGCAATAAGGACTGATCATCTAAGGAATGGGCCTTGTGATAAAGTACGGCTTGTGCTGCCCTCTTGCAGTCTTGCTTAATAATGCAAATTCATGCAGCTTGGGATCCTCTATACTGTATTATTGTTTCTTTCTGGAGCACAACTCTATTACTGCTTTTCCTTTCAGAGTCTTCTGAGTTACGTGTTTTAGATAAGGAATTAAAAAACATGGCCCAGAAAAGTAATAGAGGAATGATTCTTTGTGCTACAGAAGAATTCTTGCTCTTACAAAAAACCCAGGGATAAATGGAACTGTTGTCTTTAATGTCATTAAAGGTATACTTGTGAGTTTCTGTGAGCCTAGCAGTTCAACTAAAAATAAAGGGCAGTGACTTAAATTTCCTAATAGGTCAGAGCTCATTTGTTGAAAACGTGCGTTCTGTATATACAGGGGTAGTATTTATTTACAGGGAGACTGGAAGGCCAGTCTGAGAGATTTTTAAGGCAAGGTCTTTTGGGAATGTTTGAGTTATGGGAAACTGTTGGGAACTGGAAGCACAAAGAAAGTACATGTAGGGAAATGAATGTTTCCACTGTGCTGTTTGGTTTTGGTGTTGAGTAGTCAATCAGTTCTTCCTCTTGATTTCTAAAATGTTTGCTGCTGCCTTCAGTGTGTTCCCAGTTCTGGGTACTGAACCTGTCAGTAGGAGTGCATCCCCAAAATGACATGGTAAATGCAGGTAGCCTGAGTGATCTGTAATATTTAATCATCTGTTGAATGATAAGATGCTCCTACTTAGAATTCATTGTGAGAATTCTCGTTTCTGAAGGAGAGTAGAGCTTAGTGGTAAGAACCACAGACTCTGGAGCAAAATTTCAGCTCTTGTATATATTCTGTGACCTTGCTAGAGTTACTAACTGCTCAGTAGCTGTTTCCTCTTTGCAATAGGGGGAATCCCTAGTACCACTTTCAAGGTCTTTTTTTTATTTGAGCAATCTCTACACCAGTGGCGGGCTCGAACTCATGACCCCAAAATCAACAGCCCCATGCTCTATCACTGAGCCAGCCAGGTGCCCCTCAAGGTCTTCTTGCTACCTTTTTTCTCAGGTGAAGTGGATTATAGTACTAATACACATTTAATAATTTACCCATCATTAGTATTATTAAACAGGCTAGCAAGATTTTTAAGGGAATAACATTTTAAAAATGGTAACTTGGCTTTCTATTTAAAATTACTATTTTGGGGGGGGCGCCTGGCTGGCTCAGTCGGAAGAGCATGCAACTTTTGATCCTCAGGGCTGTAAGTTCGAGTCCCACGTTGGGGGTAGAGATTACTTAAATAAACCAAAAAAAAATAAAAATTTTATTATTTTTTTTAAAGAACAAGGCAGAAGCTCTAGGACTATGTGATGTGTTAACCCTGAATTTAGACCACTGAGATTAAATGCCATGTGTAACACTTCAAATGTAGATGAAATACAGTTTAGTTTAATGGATTACCCCATACTTCATGATTCTCATTCTGGTTAACTTGTAAAATGGTTTTCTTTTAGAAGAGAACGCAGCCTGGCTCTACTGATCATCATGTATCTTTTTTCTTGTTCTTTTTTCCTAACAGAAAGCGTGGATACTCATCAACGAAGTTTTGATATTGGAATTCAGATTGGCTATCAGCGACGCAATAAGGATGTGTTGGCTTGGGTTAAAAAACGCAGAAGAACTATTCGTAGAGAAGATTTGATCAGCTTCCTGTGTGGGAAAGTTCCTCCACCACGAAACTCTAGAGCTCCCCCAAGACTGACTGTAGTGTCCCCTAACCGAGCTACTTCAACGGAAACTAGCTCATCTGTAGAGACTGATTTGCAACCCTTCCGGGAAGCCATAGCTCTGCATGGTAAAGCCGTTTAAACATATTTCTTTGGAAAAATGGTTAAGAGTGTGCCTGTGGACCCATTTTCACATTTAGTTTTAGGTCCAGATATATTGTCTGTGTTTTGTCTATTATAGTAACTACGTGCTCTAGAAATGTTTAAGTAGAATGTAAGCTAAGAACTTAACGTGGGCAATTTTTGAATGTTAGCTAGCCCATCCTAAAAAATGTTTTTAGAAAGCTAGTTTGAGCTTATCAGTGTCACAAATAACAGAATCTTTTGCAACGTTGATTAGACCTTACTGCTTTATACTTACTATTGTACATGTTTTCTTACTATTCTGAGTCAAAGAGGAAGTTCTTGTGTGTTAAGAATTCTGTTACATTTCTGACTGCCCGGAGAGCCTGGTCAGTGGCAGGCAAGTGAGGCAGGTAATTGTTGGGCTCTTATCGTGGAACTCCCTTTGACACTCTTGTTACTGAGTGTGCCTGTAAAGGGGGTGAGAGTTGATGACCCAAATGGGAATGGACAGATGTAAGAATAAGTGACTTTGCTTACGTCTGTTGTCCCTTAGGTCCTTGCTTTGATAGTCAGGACTGTCAGGACAGTCTGTCACCATCTCCCCAGGCTAGACCTGCCAGACCTCAGGGCTTTATTAAGTATTACTGAAGAAGCCTGGGGGTGTGTAGTCAACAAGTCTGTTGTTGTTTGTCCCTTTCTAAGACAGATTTACAAGTAGAGCTGGAAGAGGTATTTACATGACATTTAATATTGCTGTAAAAATAAAAGAACAACAGAGTCATGAGACTTAGTTGGAACTGAACAGGAAACATGCATGTTGCAGGTGATATAAGAGGAGAGAAGTAATTAGTGAGTTAGGTCAGGAGGCCTGTTGAAAGTGAACATTTCTGGGCCAAAGTATAGGTCATCTAAAACTAACCTGGTGTTAAAAAGGGTGGGATAGAAATGCAGAGGGCTTCTATATCCTTGAAGCTTTAAGGCTTGTACAGATTCTTGTTCTCTTTGGCAGACCTTGATTCTTTACCTAAAACTCTAATCAGAGCATGGGGTTGAAAATGTTTTTTCTTCCTGATAGTTTATGATAAGTTAAAAACACAAACATTTATTGCAAGAAAATCCCTGATGTGTGGATGCAGTACTTAGGACTGCTGGCTGTTTCTAATGTAGGGGAATAGTCATGCCATCGGAACTTCTCAAACTCAGGCAAAAACAAGGTCGATCTGTTCTTACTCAGTTACAGATTTCACCTCTTTCACCATTAAGTTTGGAACAAATGACTGGAAGTGTGTGTAGTGTCAGGTGACCAGCCTGTCCACAACGGTAGGGCTGGATGTGGTTGTCTCTAAGCATTCTGATTTTCTTTATTGTTAGGTGCATTTATGATTCATTCCATACCTCTCTCGTTAAAGTTTTTTTTCTGTATCATACTATACTTTAGAAGATAGTTTTAAGACACACAAATGCCACTTCTCTTATAAAATCTTAGTGCAGTTGTATACCTTGTAAAAAGTGCCAGGTTCCCCCCCCCCCTTTTTTTGACTGTTAAGCTTGTGATTTGTTCTTTTCCTGAATTTTTGGAGTTTTAGTAACACTGTAGTTTTCAGAAGAGACTTTATAATCTTGACTTATATTTAAATTGTGAGGTTCAAGAAAGTTTAAGGCTATGTAGAAAAGTAATCTTTCCCTTCAGTAGACCTCAAGTAGCACCGGTCCAGGATATACTGGAGACTCTGTGTACTCTTAACTCCTAAGGTTCCTACACTGAATTCCCGTAGTTAAAACACTGTTGTGGTCAAGTAATACGGCCCCTTGGAAGAGTATACAGAAACATAAATTACACTGAGTTTTGTGCTCAGTGGTTTTAGAGAACATCAGTGTATTGAGGAGAATGCTAGTCTGGTTTGAGTGTTTTAAAGTGATTTGAATGATTCCTAGCGATAGGGCATTGTTGACTAAATCATAAAACTAGATTAATGACCAACTTTGTAACCAGGTGTCTTTGTGATCTGAGTTCCTGGATAGTCTGTAAATTGAAGTGAAAACTGCCCAGATGATCTTCTAAAATGTATTTGGAGACATCTTCAGTAGAGTACATTCTTGTCAGAATTTAGTTTTGCATATAATTGCTTAGCCAGATCTGTGAAATGTAGTTGAAGTCAAATTGAAGTTCTTAAGGATCTGCATTGGAAGGAGAGTCTAAATTCATGAGGTTTTGGACTACAAGGTGGGGAGGGGGATATAGGAAAAGAGTTGCATGTTGAAGTATACTTACTAAGTTTTTAAAGAGCAAACATGAGTGTAGAAGGTCACATCATCCTATATCCCTTTTTATGAGAGGACAGTTTTCCCCCATAGTTTTTCTTAATCAGCTCCTAAATACTCTCCAGTACCAAACACACCTACATACATCTAAAATATGCATTTTATTTGAAGAAAAATGGCAAAGATGTAAGATACTTGTAGAACATTTATTTCCTTAGACACTGAGGGTGTGATAATGAGTAAGATCTTCTGATTAGTACCCTAGTACCCTTTCAGCCTTGGACTTAACAAAATTTCAGTCATACATACATCAGTTAATGGTTATCCAGCAGTTTCAGTCAAATCCGTTGGTTATTGAGGCTTAAAGAATATCATCCAGTGCTTTATTTGGCACTGGTCTGCAATATAGGTTGCTTTTTTTCCTGTGTGCCGTGGGATCTAGTCGTTTGGATATTAAACTTCCCAAGAAGTCAGAGAAATACATAAGTGTGTGCTAAACTGATTTTTGTCCTTGCCTTGTTAATCCTTGTCTTAAAATAAGAACATCAAAAGGTTACCAAGTGCTGAATTAGTACCTGCCACCTTGTTTTTAATGTAACAGAAGATTTCAGATGGACCTAAAGTCCTCTGGACTGTTTTGTGGTTCTCAGTTTCCCTTTCTCATTCTACCTCTCAGGCATCTTTTCTCATTTGGAGCTTTTCTTTTCTTCATTATTTTTTTTTTTTCTTTTCTTCATATGCTCTTTCAGCCTCGATCTTTCCTCAGGCTCTTTCACTGACTTAGATTACACTCTCCAGGTCTGAAGCCCTAACCGCCTCCTGCAAGGCCCCGTACTTGTAGGCCCCTGTTCCTGACTGCCTGCTGCATGTGCTCCATTGTCCTCTGGCAGATGTCCATACCACAGCATCCCTGCATCTGTCTCCCATAGATGTCTGTAGTCCCTTCCAGCCCCGTTAGCAAATACCCATCTTTTCCTCATTGAGCCATTCAGATGGATATATGTGTCTGTGCTATCTCTGGAAGAGTATAAGTGAAGAGTGAGTGCTTCCTTTTCTGTTGAGGCCAACACATACTTGGACAATTTATTTTAATGGCATGAACGTGGTATGTGTAAGATATTCTAGGGGCAGAAAGGGACATTTTACTACGCAGCCTGGCTGTGCGTTAAGAGAAGGCTTTTTGGAGGAGATGAGGACGGGGCTCCTGGAATAATCTGCTTCCTGCTCTTGCGTCCTGGCCCTGGGATGACCCAGTCGCCAGTCCATGTTTCCTGGGGTCACTGGAGTAGTCTTTTCCCATCTTGTCACTTCACTGAAAAATAACTTTTGTTTACAGCTGATAGGTTGCAGTCAGAACTCAGCATGGCATTGCAAGGCCCTTCTGATTGGGTCTTAACCTTGGGTCAGATACCTTAGCCGTACTGTCTCATCTGTGGAACATCTCCCTGCTCTTTTCCCAGATCTTTCCCTCTGCCTGCTCAGACAAAGATGGATCAAGCGCCTCTTCCAAAATGAAGCTTTCTTGCAGATCTCCCTTCTGAAGCCTTCCTTGAGCTGTTCGTCTGTTCTCCCCTTGTGGCTGTCCCTCCCAATAGATTGGGGCTACCTGAGGGCAGGGCCTTGTCTTAAAGCTTCTGGCTTTAACAGAACCTGGCAAAGAACCTGGTGTAGATGTGTTCTGAGTTAACAGAGTTCAGAGGTCTGTTATGTGTATGGATACAACACAGTGGGGCCAGAGAACCTTTAGGACGAGTTGAGGATCACAGATCTCGGGATGACTGCAGTGAGGGTAGAAGGAATGGTGTGTACCTTAGGAGAGCTACGAAGGAAACTCCTTAAATTAGAACAACTGAGACTTTGAACGGGGCTTGATGATGATGCACCATTACAGCTATGTTAGTGTTTACTTTGTGCCAACATTCTGCTAAGGAGGTTCTCATTTAATCCTGCACTTGCCTTGCGTTATTGCCATTTTGTTGATGAAGAGAGGGGGCTTATTTGGCTTCGATGGAACAGATTAGTAAGTGGTAGAATAGATACTCCGATCTGCCTGTCTCCAAGTGCATGCTCTTAACCACTGTGCCTCCATATTTGTACATTTGTGGTCCCTCCCCCATGGGTCTGGGGGTTGGGTAGGAAAGAATATTTTTCTTTCTAAAGACATCAGACAATACATGCATTTTCTATCTGTCTCAGGTTTCTCGCCATAAGTGAATCTCGTTAAGTAGGCTTGAAGTGAATGGTTCATGACTTGTTGTATTTCTGGTTCACTTTAGTAGAAAGAGTAGTTAGGCTTTTTTGTAGGTAGGCTATATTCTCAGTATGACCTTGGGCAAGATGGTTAACTTTTCCAAGGCAGTCTCCTCCTTTGTGGAAGGCGATATACTTTGTAAGGTGTTAGATTGAGAAACTAAGCAAAGTACCTTCCTACCCTTTCACAACACTGTTTTTTACCGTGAGAGAAGGGGGACTTTTGATTAGTTCCAAGTCCTATGAGCACCCTCTTTGCCTCTGGGTGGCATTTCACTGCAAAAGTAGACCTGGAACTTGGGTAGTCCCTGAAGATACTTTTTGCCCCCTCCCTTTTCAGTAAGGATGGCCTTTTAAATTACATATATCACTACAGAGGGGAAGGATAATGTAAAACTTACTGTTAATTACTTATGTTACTTGCTAGGATCTGGAGCTTTTTTTTTTTTTCCATTTTTCATGTTGATACAATGAAGTTGGTGCTGTTCTC